GCAGGAGCAATTGAAAAGAAAGTTTCCCCGTTGGAAAATTGAAGGTAACAAGAAAAAGAAGCCGTTCCACCGACCAGAAAAGAGAGCGCACGACCACCCCCAGAATGAAGAAGGGAGAAGTACGACGAATGCAAAGAGAGCCAGGAGAAATAACGGCAACTATAACCCGGCTCCCAAACGGAAGATCTACCCATCGGACAGGAGTCTACGCAGCAAATGTCGACGAATTGCGGAAGGAACACCAGCTGCGGAGGCAAAGAAACAAGGAAAATTTGAACAGCCAGCAACGAGATCCAAGCAGGAACGAGAGAGAAGTGTCCCGGTTCCGCCAAGACCAGCTGCCATCAAACGGCCAAGACCACAGGCAGAGGCTAAAAAGAAGGTCTTCAAGGGTGACCGAACTGGAAGGAAAAGAAAGCTCATAGAGGAAGGAACTGAAGGGCGAACCCGCACAAGAAGGAAGATAAACCAAACTAGGAATCTTCGCTACCTTCCAGGACTGGGCAGAAAAAAGAATGTCCGAATATCACAAAGATAAGTAAAATTTTATGTTACTTTGCAAACTTAAGTTAATCTTTAATCTTTCATTCTTACTGCAAGTGGCAGAATTCAAGAACGTTTTACCTCATGTGAAGTCTACCTTTATCGCCAAAAGGGCGAGAAATGAGTTGTTACCTATTTTGGTATTATGTTTTTCAATTACTCGCGAGTAAAACTAAAATTGATGTATAATAGGAATGTGTAAATACTTGAATATTGTAAAAGCTATTGTATAAAATCTTATTTAAAAGATTCTGGAAAGAAAGAAGTTTTAGTCTGAAAGACTTTTGGAATGTAGTATTTCAATGTAGAAGAATTGGCACTTGCTTGGAAAAGAATAGAAGTAAACAACGTACTACTAATGTATGTTTTAAAATGCGTAAAATTAACGACATGTTAATATGTTCTTATATACAATGTGAACTGTTATTTTAAATGTTAAGAAATACTGTGATATGTTAAAAGTGAAAGTAATAATGCCAAAAATTTTAAACTTATTCGTGTGACTGTAAAAAGAGCCAAATTATTGTGAATATGTGTTAAAGGTTGAATGAATGTAGTTAGGCTCTCTGACGCTACACTTCAGAGTTAGCCACTTTCAGAATAGTACCTCAGGGTTTAGAGTTGAAATTAGGGTGTGTTACGAGGTCTTGGTATGTTGAATTTTAACACGTTAGTGTTTTGATTGTAGGCGGTAGTGTTGAACACTTGTACATGAACACATTCGTGTTTGGTGTTTTCTTTTACAACACATGTCAGAGAGCACGGGGAGATAATTAAATAAAGTCATGAATGAAATAAGAATGTTAAGAGAAATATAAATATTCATGTTACTTGCCATTTAATTGTGTAACATTTCATTAAACTAGTTTTCCTTCCAGATCTCTGGAAGGAACCAGATTTCAACTAAAAGCTCCTGTTTAGATGCAGTACAGATGAAAAGTAATTGTCCATGGAGTTGATAATGTAAAAAAAAAACGATTTTTTTTTTAATTTCTAGTTTCTAGTGAGAAATGTTTGTAAAAGATTGGCCTCGCGTTAGATTCTAGAGCTAAAAGTTTTCAACAAGGTCGTTTTAGACCTCAGTTTCAAACTAATTAACTCTGGCGGGAAGTATGTAAGGATCTTAAGTTTTACTAACGTTTATTTTATTTTAAATCTTTACTATCACTTCTTATTTTCTACTTCCGGCCAGAATTAAAAGCTTTAACTTATTTATGCAAATTTGTCTTGCGAACGCCAAGTACTTAAGTTGTGGCTTTTTGCCAAGCAAGAGAGAGGAAGGAGTTGATTAGAAGCAGGCCGCTTGCCATAGCAGTTTTACTCGGTTGCTGGTTGCCTTCCAAGGCCAGAGGTTTAATCCTTTTATAATTTTATCGTAGTGTTAACAGTTCTCTGTACTACATACGGCTTTTGTTAATATACGGCCAATCTTCAAGTAGGCCACTTGTTTATTAATCCAAAGTTAGTTTAGTTAGAATTTAGTTAATATTTTTATATTCTTACGTTCATACCACAAGTGGTTGGTCTCTGTATTCCGAAGTCCGGAAATCATTGTGAAGAGAGAAAAATAAAGGGTTTCGTATACCCTTCCTGTGTATCTTGTCTAGTTCCCACATTTATTGAACATAGCTTTAGTAAGCTCCCTGTTCCGAGTCAGGTCATTTAATGTTCCCCAAGCAAGTAAGGAGGAACACGGAACCTGATAACTTTTGTATTAAAAACTTAGGCGGCCAGTGCCTCATTCAGCTGAACTTCCAGTGCCAGTTTGCAAAGAATTACACTCTTTGGAAACACAGGAATACAATTTTGGTGAATATCGAATTGACCCCAACGACGAAGATTTCGAAACTGAAGATGATTCCGTTCGTAAGGGATTTGATCCGCATGAAGGTAAAGATTTGGCAAGAGATTTTTGACTATTCAAAAAGGCTTCAGAGCTGTTAGCATTAAAACGACATGAGAAAAACTTACTTGAAAAAGAAGCTAAGGGATCCTTCTTTCGATCAAGAGAAAGTGTGTTTCTGCAATACTTCCGAAGTGGTGATGGATTTGTGTATTGCCATAATGTACATTCTTTAATGTAAAAGTTGGGAATTTCAGCCTATATCGCAACTCAAAGGCGATTGTTCATCGATAAGCCAAGTTTGAAGTGAGTCCTTTTTCACAATGAAAATTTATTTGGTGCAGTGCCAATAGATCATTCAGCTTGTTTGTATGAATAATATGAAGACATAAACGGAGACATTGATTTGCTGCAGTATCGTATGCATCAATGGATTGTCTGTGTTGACCTTAAAATGGTCTACTTGCACCTTGGCCGCAACGCGTATATACCAAATATCCGTTTTTTAGTGTATGTGAGACAAAAGAACTCATAAGCATTGGGTGCAGTCGAATTGGCTGCAAAGATTTGACCTGAAACCTGGTGATTCAAACATCCTACATCAGTCATTTGTCGACAGAAAGAGCATTATACATCCACCCCTGCATATAAACTGTGTCTCGTGAAGCAATTTATTAAAGCCTTGCCATGTTAAAAAGGTGGTTTCAAATATCTCATATCGGCATTTTCTAGCCTGTTATTTGAAAGCTAAAAGCCAGTGTGTTTGATGGTTCACAGATTCGGTAGTTCCTTAAAGATGAACATTTCATCGGAATAATGACAGAGCTTCGTTGGTATTCAAAACATGGTTAAAGACTTTCTTCAAAATACACGTGCACAGATTTAAAACGAAATTGTCCAGAAACGTTTGGACAGCTTTAAAATGTTTGGTTGCAACATGAGCATCAAATTGCATTTTTTACATAGCCATCTTGAGAACTTTCCCAAAAGTCGTACTACAGAGAGGGATTAGCAGGTTGAGTGATTCCACCAAGATTTGAAGGCACGATACCACCGTACCTCCCGTTACCTATACCTACCTATAGTAAACCTACTTGATTCCTTCTTCCAGAATTCGAAATTTAGGCTTAATCCAAATATAATTCACACATTTTTTATGATTTATTTTTAAAATTTATACTTTTAATTATTTCTTATAAATTTTTTCAAACAGTTTTGTATTATAGCCTATAAAATTTTTAACATCATCTTAAAGAACATGCATTCCTAGACGCACCAGCGAAAATATTTGTATTCAAAATTTTCTAAGATATATACGTGGATTTACATATTGGCATCTTTTCTTAGAGCGATAACGCCAAATGTTGGTTTATGCATTTTATTAAAATTATTTGAAAGTATGAACGACGTCCTTTTTCCGCTTTTCTACACTGGAAAAAAGGAAAGGAAAATACGCTGCTACAAATGAAGAATTACGCCAAATGAATTATTCTTGGCGAAAACTGAAAAACAAAGTTAAATTTTTTAATTTCTCCGTAAATTTGGCACCAAATTTTACAAAATTTAATATTAAGGCATAATTTAAGTCGTAGAATTGAAATATGGGGAAAAAAACTGACATGTCAGAAAAAGCCCGATTTTACGTCCAAATACCTACGTTAGAATAATGCTATACATAAATCTGATATATATCCTAAGTCGTCGCGCTTTCGAGACATGAAAAACGCAGTTGAAATTTCATCAATCGGCGCAGTAGAATGGGAGATATAGAACTTCCTCATTTCCTTTTTTTTTTTTTTTTTTTTTTTTTTTTTTCGTCCTGCAGTGTACAAATAATGGCTGACTATTGTTGGAACATGAAGCCAGACTGCTCGCGGATTAAACATTCCAGAAAAGGCCATAAGCGAAACCTTTTACCTCAATATGTATGTTTGCTGTTTCTGAAAAGACTTTACTATTTGTATGAACAAAATTTAACTTATAGTAACTGTGTGAATAAAATTATTCTTCGTGAAAGTATGTTTGATAAGTTTTTGCTTTGTATGGATATTCTGTATGACTTTTGAGAAAAAGGTAGCTTAATACCCTGTAGACAGACCCTGTAGCTTAAAAAGTTTATCTGGTAGACAAAACTGAGGTTATTTCGGGTCAAATGTTAGTCAAAAACAAGTGACAGAGAGAACGAAAGAAAGAATTCTAAGAGAACGAAATTGCTATTCCCCAGTATTATAGGAACTACAATTCCAGCTTTCTGTGAACATTCTGTTGCATTATGGTTGCAGTTACGCAGGAAGAAGATGCAGCTGTCTGTGGTACTACAAAGTTGCTGTCCCTGCTTCTACCTCTACCTCTCTGTTTTTGAACGCAATAATGCAATATAATAGTATTTTCACTCTGATGTATTATACTGCAATATATTATAATATTGCAGTTGCACAATATTGTTCCTGCGAATGCCTTGTAATAACAGACAATTAAATGCAAAACAGAATTTGTAATTATTGCAGTGGGTTAAAAGCTCTCTGTATGCTAGTTAATGTCTGAAAAGCTCTGTATACAATGCTAACTGCAATAAAACTATCCTCATCTTTAAATTAATATTATTTTCTTTTAGGGTATGTTGGCAATGGAGTTCACTGCTCGTTTGTTGGCATATGTGCCTTAAATCATGGAGGCTGCCATCCACTTGCAACTTGCATCGAAAACACAGGTAAGGAGAACAAATGATTCATTCAACATCACGCAGAAAAAGAATTTTTTTGCAGCTCATGTTTTTCCTTTTTCCCCATATTTATAAACAAATGATGCCAAACTGTTAAGGCACTGGAACATCCTTAAGAATTTAAACCTGAAATGCTAAATAAAATTATATTAATTTCTAGGATAATATACTTGTGTGCAAAACTTAAGAAAGAGGGTTTTTTTTTGCCATAACTCCACGAGAGATTTTCTGAGAGACATGAAACTCAGAAATGAGAGACAGCATTTTGTGTTTAAACGGTGACGAAAGCATAGTTCCGCAAAAAGGAATACAGTGCGTACAGTATGGAATCAGACAAAAGCAAGCTTTAGTGAACTCAGGAAGATCAACAAGCATATGTTCCTTAGTATGGGATATGCCCTCCCCTTACCGCAATAATTGCTTCGCACCGTCTCTCCATACTCAGCACCAGATTGTCCAACAGATCATGAGGTAAGAGTGCCTATTCCTCAATCAGCATCTGTTCCAGTTGTTGGGTGTTACCCGGAGAACGTAATGGTGCCGCAAGGCGTCTTCCCAAAGCGTCACACACATGTTCTATGGGATTTAAATCAGAGGAGTACGCTAGCCAATCCATTTGAGTGATATCTTCACTTTCCAGTAGTTTCTGAAGGACAGGATTAAGTTGTGGCCCTGCATTGTCATCCATAAAAAAAAGTCTGCTCAAATGGCACCTCGGAACAGATGCACATGGGAAAGGATCACCTCATGACAACGGCGATCTCTGGTTATAGAGCCTCTGTCGAAAACGGGGAGCTCTGTCCTCCTGCACAGCATAATGCCTCTCCAGACGAGAACTCCAGGACCACCCTAACGGTCTCTTTCCGTGATGTTACTAGAATGAAACTGTGTCCCGACCTCTCTCCAAATCAACTGGCGTTGAGAATCGCTTGTGGCACTAAAACGACTCTCATCCGTAAGGAGGACACAACTCCATTGATGATATGTCTAGTTTTTATGCTCCTTGTACCTCTCTAAACAGTGACGCCGATGGCTAACATTCAAAAGAATGCAGCGTTCAGGATGGCGGATGAATAGGCCACCTTTGTGAAGGTGTTTGGACACAGTAACCGCGACACTTGTCTCCCCGTTGCTGTACACAGTTGCTGAGCTGTGGCGCTTGCTAACTTGTTTCGGGCTCTTTTCGTCTGCAGGACGATATATCGGTCATCCAGTGGAGTAGTTTTCCTGGAGCAGCCACCACCAACCTTTCTAACAGCTGCACCTATGGAAGGCTTCCCAAGGGCGCGAAAGGACACTTTTGTTGACTTCGTACTCTTCAGCTTCACAGGTCAGACTACGCTCTCCTCCAGCATTCCATCATTCTTCCACATGTGGCGTCATCCAGGTAATTTTTTCTAGCCATATTTCACGAAAGAACTCACTTGTACTTGCAGCGAATGTCTTTAATTGCGTCTCGGTCCTTCCTTTTATTGCAGTCTTGAGTTGAGCGCGCAGTCCCCACGCGTTTTGCGTACGCTCACGTCGCCTGTGATTTTTGTTCCTGACATTTGCGTACGCGTGCCTTTCTACTGAATTGCGTGTTCATTGTACTGATCGCAAGAACCCCTTTTACGCAATTTCATGGCTATTTGATTAAAATTTACTTTGTTGCTTAAGTTTTGCACACCAGTGTATATAGAGTATAAGGTGTTTTTTCCCTCCTTCCAGGATGCCTTAACGTAATGGCGTAACGGTAGCACACTACGTTCATGTTCGATAGGCCCAGGTTCGAGTCCCGGCGTAGGCATTGCATATTTTTCAGGTTTCCTGCTTAAAAAAAGAATTAATGTTGCTACAAGAATTATTTAATTTTCCAATGAAAAAATCTTGAAGCAAAGGCAAATGCTTTTCTTCGAATATTAAAAGAATTCAGACAACTGACAAAATTAGCTTCTTCTGAAAAAAAAAGGACCTGTGCCAGTAGCTCTCGAAATTAATAGCTCTATACAAAAATCTACGTCAATGTAAATTTGTAATTAGACGTTTGCCTAATTTAAAATATATTTATATGTTTGTAAATATGTTTATGTATGGTTTTCTTACCTTGGATTAGCAATAACAAGCACATACAGAGAATGCCGTTGTCCTTCGGGCTATATCGGAAGCGGGGAAGGTCTTCAAGGATGCGTACAATCTCCTGCGATGAGCTGCTTAGCCAATCCTTGCATACATGGAACTTGCGAAGTAAGCACATGTGAATAGTTCTGAAGGAAGCGTTTTGTTTTAAAACTGTTATTCCTTGACTAATTATAGCATAATCATTGTTCTAATAAACTTGCTTTTAAAACTTAAATTTATTTTAAAATAGCAGATTTATTTTATTATTAAAGATCAATAAATTGACTGTCTGCTATTTTAAAATAAAATATGTAATTGTAAATTGAATGCCTAATGAAATGTAACCTCTAATGAAAAATCTAATTTAACTTTATGAGTGGGAATAAGATACAGGGTGGTTCAGAACTATATGTCAAAAATGTAAAGGCCGGTAGAGGGGACCTAAACAAGCAGATTTCATATAGGAATGTGTGTGAGCTAATGCCGCGTTCAACCGGTAGAGAGCGCTGATGAGTACGACGCATAAAAGCACTGCGCTAGCTGGATTCTTCATTTTCCTCGCGGATCTCGAGCAACATGCATCGTTACACCAATGTATGGTTTGCCGACATGCATTTCATGTATGGGGATGCACAAGGAAATGGACTAACTGCTCAAAGAATTATAGGGAGCGATTCTACATTACCTGAACTTGATGTTCCTGCAGCTGTTCGCAGACGAATGTGGTTCCAGCACGATGTAGCCCCAGCTCATTTCAGACGGAACATTAGAACGCATGTTCATTGCATTAGAACGCATATTCATTGCATGTTCATTGCATGGCCAGCATTGGATAAAACAGAGATGGCCAGTTCCCTGGCCATCGCGTTCTCCTGATTTAGCCTGCTTAGATTTCTTCCTTTGGAGTCATATTAAAGGTCTCGTGTACCCGAAAGTTCCGTCACATCTGCAGAATTTCTTGTTGACCGCTTGTCTGTTGCTGCTGGACCATGTTCTCGACATGCCTGCCGTCTTATCTAATGTACGGCGATCGATGCGCCACTATTGTGAATCTTGTATCGCTGTTGGTGGCCGCTCTTTCAAGCACCTATTGTAAACTGTTAGTAATTTCTTCCTTTTGTCTTTACTTGTCTTTTCGGTTTCCTGTCATTCATATTACTTTACGTGCTAGCGCTTTAATGCGGCATTGCCGTATATATATTCCTATACGAAATCTGCTTCTTCAGGTTCTCTCTACCTGCCTTTACATTTTTGACATATAGTTTTGACTTACCCTGTATATTTATTACTTCCTACGGCACGCCTGAAGTTGAGAAACCATCAACTGAGTACCTAAAATTGTTGAACTGTTTCCGAAATTTCGCATTCTAAACAAAAATATCTCTGTTGACAAGCTTCAATATATCAATTTACAAACAAAATATAATTACAACTGTAGAAATCAATTATAATGTCATTTAGTTGATGAAATAAATTTCATCAAATTTAATGATAATTTTTTAATTCATTGAAGAAATAAAGGCAATATTTGACTTTATTATACTCAAACACATGTTCAAAAATCATAAGGTGTAAAATTAATTTCACTGATATTAAATATGTAACGTACTTCATTTACTTAAGTCCTAAATTCGGCAAATGTTTAAATTTAGAAAACGGGTAAAATACTAAAAGGGACTAAACTGAAACTCTGTATTTAATGTTCCTAACTTTTGCGAAAGTTTAGTTTAAACTTGATTCCATTAAAATGAATAAATATTTTTAAAACTAGCATTCCTATAAATGTGACGAGACAGCAGTCTTATCTGTCAATTAAATAATTTGAGTTATAAAATATTAAAACATTTTCTTATTACACATGTGTTTACCTCAGACGCCTCGCTCTGAACGTAACTTTTATAATCATACTAGTTTAGCATAAATTAAATATAAGATTCTAATCCATCGTCCCAAGAAAGCAAAATAACGGTCGCCCAGAAGGGTTTGTTAAGGATTTTACGCTGCTTCTTGTTTCGTAGTCTAGCAGTCTTCTGTTGAACTTGCTCCTACTAACTCATTTCTTTTTGTCTTTTTAGCTTGATATTTGACGTACATGGGTAAAATTTTTAAAGTTTTGTAGCCACTGCATATTTTCTTTGAGGCGGCTGCCACTCAAAATGGCAGTTGCAAAGTTCGCTTCTAGTAGAGCATTATTTTCTAAAAATGAAAAAAATTAAAATATTTCTAAAAACATAAATAAATATAAGTGAATACTTATTAGTAGTTCAGTAATTCAGTCTTGTGTGGTACAACTGGAAACACTTTTCCAAGCACAAACCAACTCCACAATCATTACACCAGAATCGTGATTTCTTCCTTATCTTTTCCCCACTTTTATCCTTTTTCGAACAACACACCTTGCACTGTCTTGTAGGCTCACGTTTCGCAGGGATAGGAGGAAAATGGGATATAAAATGTCGTTCAATAAGACGGGCAGGGTTATCTATTGTAGGTGGTCTGCCAACATTCTTTTGTCCAGAAGCTGCATCATCATATTTATGTAAAAGCTCTTCTACAACTTGGATTCGAAATTCTAAAAATGTAATACGTTTCCCAACTACATTTTTATAGAGCAAATATGAGTTCCAGAGTACCTTGTCTAGTAAATGTAAAAATATCTTTTTATAATATTTTTTCTGACGTTTTCGGATTGTTGGATGAAAGGATATTTCCTGATCACAGCGATCTACACCACCCATAGTTAGACTGTAATTAGAAACAATCTTCGGCTTGAGTATATCTCCATTTTTTTTTATTTTTGAGGCTGACCATGGAAGTATCATGAATACTGCTCATCAAACACACATCCTTCATCTTCGGTTGAAGAATCTAAATCATCTATATAACGTTTCAAAGAACTGGACGCCATTTTACAACAAAAAGATCCCATGCACTTTGAACCAAAGAACTTATAACCTCTAACCTTTGAAATCTTCAGTAAAGTGCTGTCATCTATTGAACTGAGCGCACATTAACTTTTCCCGAGATACAGTCGGGTTTGACAAAGAGATGAAGCCGAAATAAACGTCTCCCGATATATATTCGGGTATAACAATACGATGCACTCAAAAAAAAAATTACCCCGAGTAATACTCGGGCGTGACATTTTCGAACACCAGTGCTGTGCCCGAGGGGCATGACAGTTAAAGGAAAAAAACATATGTTGAATCAAATCATTAAGGGGAAAGTATTCTATTTAAAAATTTTATTATATCAAATTTTAAAAAAAAATTCCCTTTTTTTTTTTTTTTTTTTTTTTGTCTTTTTATTATTAACGCATTGTGTGTTAAATTTATTAATTCAATATTACCTTTTTTGCATCTAACCCACAAACAATTCAATTAAACAGCAAAATCACAAAATATTTAAAAACAACATATCTTGAGAATTTCCGACAGACAATCTTGAGCGCTAGAGATAAACATGTTTTGTTCTCTACATAATTGCTGCTAGTCACTTTCAAATCGTCGAGTTCGTGAATCAAAAATTCATTCAAGTTTTATAAAGTATGAAGCATGAAATTCAAAATATGAATAAGAAAATATGAAGTTCAAATTCAGGCTTCCAGGTGCAGATATTCGGGGGGGGGAGGACTACGTTATCTAAAACTGGATGGCTCTGGATTTTTTCACAGAGCGAAGAACATACATGCATACATTGCATACCTCATGATTTAGTTTCTTTTAAAATAATACAGGGTGATAATATTTGCTGGCAACAATTTGAAAAGTAATCCACCGTTTATAGAGAACGACGCAAAATCCCGGTGAGCTCCGTAATAGCCCATTCGGGCTAATGTCCTTTTGGTGTAAATAAGGCAATGATACATTATACATGGAAAACGTTAATCTCCATTATATTCTTTCTTCTTTAACAGTCGTCAGGTCCATCTGCACGCTGCATTTGCTTTCCTGGTTATCATGGCATTCTTTGCGAGCAAGAAGAAGATCCCTGTATCAGCGAACCTTGCCAAAATGGCGGCACGTGCTTTTCACGACAAGGAAATTTCACTTGCGTTTGTTCGGAAGGATTCGAAGGGCAGACTTGTGCTAGAAGCAGAGAAAGTAAGATACCATTTTTTTTTTTCCATGCGTTAATTTTCTAGTTTTCGTTCAAAATTGCTATAAGGTAAAATAAATTCTTTGGGTAGTAGTTCACAGGGTGTCTAAAAAAAGTGCCTACGCTTTAAAAAGCCGCATATTTTTAGAATTTTTAAAACAGTGTTAAGTGATGCCATTAATGTTTATAGTCTTCTCAGTTCATCCTGTCAATGATCAGTTTTCTCTTTTTATTATAAACTGTTAGTTTATTTATTAAATTTAACTTCTTGGCACGTAACTGCATAAACTTCAACAGTAAAATAACCAAACATTTAAAAATAGCATATCTTTAGAATTCGTGATAGGTTACTAAGTGCTCTTATGCATTTTCGGTACTTACGTATTATCCCGTCCATCGGCCAAGTAGCACGATTTAGTGCTAATTATAGGTGACTGTGTTCTTTAGAACTCCGCAGTAACATTTGGCGATTGGCTACTACTGCCGAAATTTCCGCCAACGGTTCAAATTATTTCTTTAAAAATAGTAGATGAACATAACATTAAATTGAAACATCCTTTGGTACTATTCGGTTTTGAGGTCCGTAAAAAATCGCCAAACTATTGTTGACGCCAGTGCTGCCAAAAATAATTGCGGCAACCCTAATGCAAGAAATGGAAGTATAATAGTAAATAACTATCTAAGATTGATGTTTAAATTTAGATGAATGGTTAACTTCATATAATACCTTTTTATTAGTATAATTTATATAAAAATGGCTAAACATAACTGACTAGAAGCATGAGAGTAAATAACTATTTCAGATCATTATTTAAATTTATATAAAAATTGCTAAACATAACTGAATGTATGCCTGCATCGCTATTTCGCTACCGGTTATCGCTAATTTCATCTCGTTGGTTGTTCAAACATAATTTTCTATAATGAATGATGCTTTCTCTTTAAAAAAATTCTCGGTATAGGGCAGAATGGCCCACTTACTTGTTTGTCGCTTTTTACAAGGGTAAAAACAATTGGATTTTTGTCAATTTCCTTTTACTTTTTAGGTCAAAATAGGTCGATGTGTACATATATCAAGTCAAGGGCGAGCGCAGTGCCATTTTTGTGCAATTCTGGGATTTTTTTTTTAAGTGAAAATAGGTCGATAAGTATATGGATACCGAGTATGTGCAATTCTTAAAAACGCGTCAAGCAACATGGGTGATTCTGCACTTTACCCAAATATTCTATTGCCACAGTTTTCGTCATGGCCAATTTCCCAAATTGCTAAATCTCATAGGATATCAAAAAAGGATTTTAAAATCAAAAAAGGATTTAAAAATTAAACTAATATTGTCAATGGCGTCTTAAGAAATATAGAACTATATAAACTTACGCAATCTGAAATCAGCGCGTACGCTAATTTGGATGCTGTTAAATGGCGCATTTGCTATGCTCGCTTTCGTGCATACATTTTCGCTGCAAATTTTTTACGGTCCTCAAAACGGAATAGTACCCATCCTTTTATTTGAAAAGTGATAGGGACAAAGAGTGAGGATCGAGATTTATAACACCTCTAGTGCTAATAAAGAAAGCAAACTTAGATTGGCACACATTTTGAATAAAATTAAAAACTGGTATGGATTTAAATTTAAAATCTGCTCCAATTTGTTTTTGTTTTACGTCAGTCTAAGTATCCTTTTATTAATTTCCTTTCAAAGTTTGCTTTCCCCCTTTTTTATTTTTGTTTTCAGAGGAGGGTTTTAACAAACGCAAATAAAAAATTTTCTTAATTAAATGCCTTGAATATTAAGAAAAAACTTCATTCAAAAAATATCCACAAGAAGATAGCGCCCTGTAGGTATCTGACGCGATCCGCTATTTTGGATGGTCTCAACTACAACCGAAAGTGGTTTCGAACCCACAAGGCTCGTTCCTTGTAGCGTTGTTCGGCAGGCTCTTCGAGCTAGCTGATACAAGAAAAATCTGTTAACCCACGATCTAACTAACTCCAGGATGAGGTAACACTCGCAGGACGCTTAATTTCCAGTGGACTATTGTCGGTCTAAATAACTCGTTTGGGACTGTGGGACAACTTAGGCAGTCTTAATGTTAGTGAATTCTCTTTATTCCTGGCTGAAATTCCGAAAAAAAAAAAAAAAAAAAGAGACGCTACACTAAACTTCGCTTCAGAATCATACTTATACTGCCATCACGCTTCTGCAACGACCAGGACCCACTCCGAGCCCGAAGCAGGAGGAAGAATTCCCAAAGCTATCCTGGTTCCGAAGATCCAGAATGCAAGCACTCCAGACCTCGAAGGCGGAAATCCATATTGCTTTCCAACTCCCGTCCAGTTTCTTTCGGTGTATGTTGTAGAAGGCCCATCTAGCCAGTCCGGAATTTCAGCGCTGTTCTGAAAGTCTGACAGAGGCCGTTCTCCGTTGGTTAATCCTTCGGCTAGGGAATGGGACTATTCGTTGTGGCCATTTCGCCGTGGCCGTTTCGCCATTAGGACTGTTTCGCCGTCGGGCCGTTTCACTGTCGGGACGTTTCGCCGTCAAGACATATTTTGCTTTACACAACTGTATTATATCTTGCTGTATTATATTAAATTGATTTAAATTAATAACTCTATTTAGTTTAATAACTTAATTTAATTTAATAAGTATTTTATATAAAATAATACATAAAATGTTTTTGTGTGCAGTCTCATACAAATACACCGTTACACATGACCTATTAATTATACGAGAGTAATCTGCTGACAAGATTCCAAAGTTATTCCGTTTTCCACTCAGAAAAATGGGAATTTCCTACTTGTATGAGTGATTTCTGTGAAGTAGCAAGTTAAAATTTCAAGAAATTTTGACGAATCATGTAAATATTGTATCCGTATAATTTAAAAATTGAAATATAATTTCTGTTATATCAAAAGTTTAGCACTAGTTCTCTTTGATACTGGCATAATTTTCTAACTAACTATGTGTAATTTCTTTATATCTCATATATATATTAAAAACAACATTTATTAAGTGTACAAAAGCTAAACAGAATTTTTAAACTAAATATAATTAATACGAGTGTAACACTGCAAGATAAAATACAATCATGGAAAGGAAAATATGTCTTGACGGCGAAACGACCACGGTGAAATGATGACGGCGAAAAGTCCTAGACACCTTCGGTTATCCGGCTGATACTAGTCGGGAAGGTACTTTGGTAAATTTTTATTTCTGATTTATTTTAATTCGAGATTCAGACTTGGTGCATGAAAGTGCAGTTGCCCCACGCTCCCTATTTTTTTTTTATTTTATTTGTGTCTTAGTCTATATGTTAATTGTTTGATTAGATAGCCTGGCTAAGTAAAAGTAGGCGGCCAGTGCAACTCTGATTCAAAATCCGGTTACGACCACGTGCAGTGCTGATAACGATCACGTGTCTCTGCGACTCCTTTGGCGATGCTCTATTTTCCTTCTTTTTTTTAGCTTTCTAGTAATTTCGTTATCCTGATGAGGAGGAACCTTTAGCTGCCTTCGAAATCGATTGAGTGTTTTAATACATGTACGCTAAATACAAGGTTGTTATTGCGATTTTGATTGTCACAGTGGCGTGTTTCTCTTCTATTCTAGTTCATAACATACTTTGCTTGCTGAAAAACACTGGTGTATACTGTTTAATATTTTTTGCCTAATTTTAATAGGCCCACCAGCGGCCGAGCGGTAAAGTCACTGAACACTGGTAGTTCGGTCCGAGGTTCGAATACCGCGAACGGGCTGGCTGCATGGGTGTTTTAGTGGTTTTCCCCATGTGTAGCGTGTATACGAGCCAGTTTCCCTTAAAACGTCCTCCACGAAGGCATCCCTCCCCTTAGGCAGATAGCCCTAGTGTGCTTTGCCATAATTAAATACACCACGCCTAATTTTAATATTTCTTGATGGTGTTATCCCAGCTCGCTAATGACAAATTTCTCGCAGTAATTGAAAATAATAATAGGATAGGATTCATTACAAACTTCATATTTTAAATTATTAATTTCTAAAAGTATGACTATTCTGACTATTGATAAATATGTGTATGGATATTTAAAACAATTCAGATATGCATTGTTAACGACCATTTTCCCATCTAAATGTTAAATATTTTTAAAGCTGAATGGTTAGGGCCATCACATTTTAAACTGGGGGCAAAAAATTTCGAATATTTCTCAGTTGATATACTTCTTGTTTTGCTAGTTCAACATTTCTGCTTATATTTATTCTCAAACAACTCTCTGTTTCTTAAACTGTACATATTGTTACTGACTTTGACAAACAGGTTGTGGTGGTTTTCTGAACGGAAACAACGGGACACTTGAATTCCCTGAAAATGGAGTGCACTACAACCATATGATGGACTGTGCTTGGGTGATTACAGTTGATGATGATAAGGTGAGTATATAATGAGAATAACTTTTGCTCTGCTTTTCTCGTTAAGAGATTCTCTTTTTCTAGTGGAGTCATGAAAATATACAGGATTTGAAAAAATATATAAAAAATCACCGCTAAATCACTCTATTTTTGTTGAACACAGCTTTTGTTGAAGCTTAAAGAATAATTTTTAGTTTAGTATGAACACAAAATGAGCAAAGTAATATTGTTCTATGAATAATACGCTGTTGACGCTTATGTAATTGGTAAGCCAAGAATATCAGTTGGGAAACTTTTAGGGTTATTGAGAAGTACTTCATTTCACGTTACGAAATTAAGCTAAATATTCGTGGCAAAGAATAGTCTGCAAACACAGTAGCGGAACGGACAGGGCACTTCTTGACAGTTTGCTTATTTGCACAGTGAAAAGTATGAAATGGCTAAATGGCTATCTGCCTGAAGGTAATGATGCTTCTTTGGACCCTTTGCTATACGAAATTAGCATTTAATTATACTACACTTCGGGAAAACCATGAAAATGCTCATGCAGGGAACTCGTCCACCGGGATTTGAACACCGGTTGGACTATCAGTGTTCAGGGGTGTAACAGGAGTTTCAGATTTTATATTACGCCCAAAGGTCTTTTTTTTTTTCCAAACACATATGCATTTCGAGATAATTCAGATAAAAGCATTTAAAACAATATATCTTTAGAATTTCCAATAGACAGTTTCGCGCGCTGGAGATAAAAATGTTTTCTGTTTTTCCCGTACAGAGTTGCCATTGCTCGCATTGAAATTGTTCATTCTCCTAATCCGAAATTCTTTAAAGTTTAACAAAATATGAAAGAGATAATATAATAAATTCGACCCTGAAAATTCGAGCTTCCCGGTGTCTGTAATCGGGTGGATGAAAATGTAATGGCTCTAGGTACCGCTGTTTTTTCAGTGCAAGAAACATATATATTGTGACGAAATGTAAAGGCGCTGTGAGATGGCTTCCCCGCAAAGCAGTTTAGGGTTACCATAAAATGGCAAGGAAAAGCGTGGTTGCCACATTTGGCGAGAAATCGCCCATTTGGCGACATTTGGTGACAAAATTAGCGCTATGCCATGGACGGATGGAGAACCTTCTGAAACGAATTTCTTACCGGTTTAGCCCAGAATGTTCTCGAACACAAGCCGAAAGCTTGCTGGTCTGCAGTCAGTCATTATGTGTGTGTGTCTCTCATCGAGTGTGTGCCTCGTCTAGCTAAGGCTAAACCAGGCTGAATCACCAACTTTTCTCTCTTGGCGAGTAAGGGAACGCACTGCCAATTTTGGCGCGTTTGTCGCAGACACTGGCTGAATGTTTGCTGTTTTTCTAAAGATTGATTTTATAGACGCGCGGCATTCAGCGCACATAAACTTTTCGGATAATTTATTAATTCTCGAATAGTATATAGACGTTTTCACTTAAATAAAAATTTCGCGTATATTTTGTAAACATATTCAAAATAACTTATTCTTTAGATGTTTCAGTTTCGTTAGCAGACTAAAATAAATAAGATATGAATAAAAACTTTCAATAGTGTCAAATGGGGAAATAGTTAAAGCGTAGAGTGTGCAAATAAATTTATCTTAATGACATTTTAACAAAAATTTCCATAAAAACACTGTAAATTCATACTAAAAAAATAACTTAAGAATATGTTGTCATTTTAAGTCTGAAGTATATGGAAATAATTGTGCAAGACTCTGAAGAAACACTTTCTTTTAAATGTGTGAAATATTTCATAACATATATGGAAGAAGAAAGTACAGCATTCTGAGTTTTGGATGCTTTTCTCCAAATGTAATATAAATACGAACTAGAAACCGTAATAAAAAGTCCTTCCTCCTCCAATCAGATCACCTTTGTGTTGCATTGTATTTGTAATACTTCTAAAAATCCAATTTTTACCTAAATTAAAAAACAGTTATTCCATAAAAGATAATAAATTTGAACGTATATAGAATGAATTTTGTAATTTGAGTTATGTTACAAAATAATTCATAGTTTATATATTTTATACTAATAATTTAGATAAAAATCTGTCCTTTTCCAATTTAAGAATGTGTGTTAACCACATTCTTAAATTGTAAAAGGACGACTTAACCACATGTAATTCATTTCAAAGCATAAAAGAAAGCTTATTTTTTATTTTACACAGCAACAGCATTTGCATGCAGTCAAGTTTTTTTTTTAATTGCTAGTTATTATACATAATACTTAATTTTAAAAACATTCTTATTAGAAAGCATAACTAAGAAACTTCTTTTTAAAGCACCACAGTGATTGCAAAGAATGTCGTTAAATTTACAAAAGTATTGAAGATATATTGAACAGCATTATAACAAGAAAGTACTGTACAAAATATGTAAATTTAGCATAACATGTAAATGTAGTAATATGTAAATTTCTTTTTTAGTATTTGCATAGTTTCCCCAAAATGAACCTTAATAGGAAGTTATTTTGCGAAAATTTAAAAGTATTAAAATGGCCTTTAATTAAGATGTAACTGCATTTATAATTATTTTGTAATTGTGAGTAGATTATATTATTGCAATTAGATTATGCACTTACAACATAATTGCATAAAGTAATGAAATTAAGATAGATAGATTGTATTCACAGATACAATGTAATTATCTAAATTGTAATTATAATCAATTATTCAATACCGCAATATTATTACAATCACAATAAATTGGGTACTATATTTGCATACCGTCCACTCAAAAGGAGATACTGATAAGCCTGGAAGTTATTTCGAGACTGATAGTCGTTCTGGGCTAAACCCCTTTGTGCTAATGTCGGGGGGGGGAATCTTTGATTGAAAAGGAAATAAGCGAACTATTCCACTTGATTTAATTTAAATTCTAGTGATTAATTTTATCACCAATCAAAGATATATGCGACAACTGTGTGAAAATAATTTTTAAATTTAATAAAATTTATCAAATCTGAGTTTTGAAAAAAAATTCTCATTGAGATTTGTTTAAAAGCCTATTAATTCAAAAAACTAGTTTACCAAATTTTGTATGCATGGGCGTTTTCGAGATGGAAAAAGTTTGTACAATTTTGAGGAAAAAAAAAAAAAAAACTAATTACCGCCCTTTTTAAAAATACTATCACTCTTGCTATCTATTGATACTGGTCTGAGGTTCAAGTCCCGACGAACGGGATGGTTGAATGAGCATTTTTGCGGATTTTGCTATGTGTAACGTGGATACTAGCTAGGTTCATTTAAAAAGTCCTCTATGGATCATCTTTCAATATCCGTACAGTGCCTAACAGCGAACCAAGTAATAAATAAATAAATAAATAAAATATTCGTTCCAATGGAAAGTTGGTTCACATTTTTGTAGAAATATTGGGAAAATATTAATATATAGGACTGCACTAAATAAACATTACTGAACTAGTTTGGTTTAGTTATTTGATTACGGCAAAACACACTAGGGCTATCTGACTAAAGAGAAGGATGCCTTTGTGGAGGAATTTCCAAGGGAACCTGGCTTGTATACACGCTATTGAACTGGATTTTTGCTTTAGGTGAAACATTAAATAATGATTGCCCCGTTGTGTAATGCTCTCCCTAAAGGAAAAAATATAATTTTTTTTTACTCCTTAGATTATTATTACCTGAAAGTTTTGTCTGTGTTACATTTGTAGGTTGTGAATATCACTTTTGAACATTTCGATTTGGAAAGTGGGCTTAACTGTGAATTCGACTTTCTGCAATTGAACGATGGTCCGAACGCTGCTTCTCACGTTATCGGCCGCTTCTGTCAAGAAGATTTGCAAAATCGGACATTTGTCAGCACTCACAATCAGCTCTACCTCTGGTTCCGGTCGGACAGGACTGCCGCCGCAACGGGTTTCTCACTCAACTGGACAGCAACTAAACCCGGTTAGTTAATCTAAATTTATGCATTTCACTTAGCGCCTGAACTGAAGTTTAGATATTCAGAGTACCTTTGCCGTGTCCAAAAAAATCCTTAGCAGCTGTTTATTTTCGAAATCGTTGGTGCTGATACATATTTACATTACAGAAATGTTTGAAATGATGCAGTTATTCATGCTTTAGAATTTTTGTTTAGAGATAAAATTAACGAAGTCTAGCTTTTTAAATGTTCTCTCAATCCTTTTGTTTAGGAAAATCTAGACTATTGAAAACCTGTGCCCGTCTGTGTGTTTGTGGCATTAGTCACTTTCGTTTCAAAGGCGTACTATAGCACGTGAACACTTTAATCTGTTTTACTTTAATCTGAACACTTTAATCTGTTTTCTTTTCATTGTTTCTTCTACGTTCTGCCAGGATTAGTTCCAGTTAAAGTTTTGGCGCTTAAAATCAGTCGCCATTTTGTCTTAGAAACGATCTTGGATGATCCGCGGAAGCTTTCACTCACTTATGTTAGACACTACCACACAACTGTTTCGAGATTTTTGTAGCCAAGATTTTGACAAAAACAATCTTGACCCCCCTCCACCCCTTAGTTTCCTTTTTTTTTTTTTAACGCTTCTTTTAAGGTTCTCGTTTTGGTAACACTCCCCAGCTATGTTCAAAATTTCAACGTCCCTGTCCTTGCACCTGCATATTTGTCAGTATATTCACGCCATTTGCGGCGAGTATCTAGCTGCTAGAGAAAGTTTTTTTCAGCTTACAATATTGTTCTGTTTTCTTTCCCGCATTTGGTTTTAAATTGCAGAACTTTAGATTAAGATTACTTTTTATCAAAAGTAAAAAAAAAAAAAAAAAAAAAAAAAAAAAAAAAAAATTAAAAAAAAACATTAAATTTAAAATAAGTAGAACTTCAGATTTACGAGACAGCCCTTTTTTAATTATACGTTTCACTACCCGTTAATAATTCATAACTTACATAAGTAACGTTTTCGGAATTTATATGCACAGTTCTACCGGTTTTCCTGCAATTTACTGTATTCTCATACATTGTGAGTTTTTATATTTTGTATATTTTAATTTTATTCTGTTTAGAAGCACGTTTTTATTTTAATAAGTTTTTTTATTCTTACTTTAATTTTAATTCGAACAGCATATTCGAGAAGCTCTCGATCAGTGTAAGACTACTCGAGAAATAATTTTTCAAAAAGCAAATTAATTTACAGCAGTTTAAATTGTTGAGAGGAAAGAAGCATGTTATTCATGAATCATTTAATCAGTTCGGTATAATATTTTAAATACTTACACTCTGACACGTTCAGTTTGAAACATTAAATAGGAGTGATTAAGTTTTGATACGTTTATTTATTTTTTAATTGATACTTTAATTTCGATGTCAGCACCCACGTTTTTACCAGCATTTACACATCCCATACAACTGGTTTTTTTTACGTATCTAAATTTTCTTTTTAAAACCTCTTAAATATTCCCCACCGTACACTTTTTTCCTTAGGTAGGACATTTTTAAGTTTTGCTCCTTTTGAAATTAAATGTAATCCTTTGAAGCTTTAGAGCAGGATTTTTTAATTACAAAGCTTCTAATACAACTAGTACGTTTTTTAAGAGTATACATATAAATATACACATACATATAATTAATCAAGATGTATATTATAAATATATAATCATACATACATATATTAATAGAGATATATATTATAATATATATATTAATCAAAGATACAAAAAATTAAGGACGAGACGGTTTTTCATATAACTTTGTACAAAAGCTTTCCAAATCAACACATTTAATACCGTAAGATCCCCAATACGTAAGGACATGAGTAATATAAGCAACACTTACTAAAAGAGAAATCAGAGGGATAAAAGAAGCTTTATTGAAAAGTAGCATGAGCGCAATGCGACTGAAGGCCGAAACATCCCTGTGATGGGTGTCCAGCAAGAAACATCCGGTCTTAATAGGGGATATGATCTCCCCTGACTGCTAGGCAGGTTTCACAGCGTTTGCCCATGCTGAGAATGAGGGTGTCAATGAGTTGTTGAGGCATTGCTGCCTATTCGTCTTGCAGCGCCAATCGAAGCTCCGGAATCGTTACTGGTGGTAAGTACGAGCTGCCAAGCGTCTGCCTAGAAAATCCATACATGCTCGATGGATTGAATCCGGAGATCGTGCCGGCCAATCCATACGTTCAATATCCTCACTCTCTAAGAGCTGTTCGGCAGCTACTGTGCGATGACATGGTGCATTGTCGTCCATGAAAGGAACTGCGGACCCATAGCGCCTCTAAAAAGACGCACATATGGAAGAAGAATCTCGTTACAATAACGGGTCCCGTTGACTGAACCTGCAGTCGAAGATGTGAAGGTCTGTACGACTACCAAGCATGATGACTCCCCAAACGAGAACACCGCCACCTCCATACTGTCCCTTTCAATGATGTTCGAGGGATGATTGCGGCTTCCCCGCTCTCTCCAGATGAGTATTCGATGAGAATCGCTACTCAGACTGAATCTGCTCTCATCTGTAAAGAGTACTCGTCCCCATTCATTGTCTCTCCAATTCCGGTGTTTCCCGGCACCACAGAGAACGCCTTCTCCGATGGGCAGGCGTTAGAGGTACACACCGTACAGGGCGTCGTGCAAACAGACCACCACCCGTGCAGTCTTCTGGCCACGGTAAAACGCGATATCGGTCGTCCAGTCGCCTGTGTCGTGTGTCTAGCGATTTCTCCCGCTGTCTGCCGCCTGTTTTCTTTCTTCTGGCCTGTAAGGCAATATACCAGTCATCTGCAGGTGTGGTTCCTCGTGGACGACCACTACTAAACCCCCGGATAGCTGTTCCTGTAGTTTGAAATTGTCTCCAAAGTCGTGAAACGATGCTGTGAGCAATTCCGAACTCTGCAGCCACACTTGTCACACTGCGGCCTTCCTCCAACTTCCCAATGATTCGACCTCGGGTAAAAGCATCCAGATGTCGTCTAACAGATTGATTATTCGCCATTTCTCGCCGAGGCAGCAACTCGGTGTGATTTTAACTGCTATACGGCGTGCAATCTCTTTGCCAGAAATACTGATCTTACACCGACAACATGCTTTATACTACTCAGACACTCCCCCATTACGTCTACCTGCATATCTGCGCATGTGCTACCGTATATCACCTTACTTAATCTCCTGATTGGTCTTTCTGTCCGCTCTGCCTCTTCGTTCAGCTGATATGCTAATTTTTCGACTTCGTCCTTAATTTTTGCACACCAGTGTTTATATATATATATATAAGTAATAAAAGCAAATTTTAGGGAAGTGTTGATGAAGGAACATTAACACGTAGAAACGTAGCAATGTTGTTTGTCGTAATCCATACCGGAGAATAAACTTGGTAGCCGCATAACATTAATTCCATTTTTATTTCCAATTGACATTTGTGACCACAATTCAGTTGGCACTCTAAACGCACCTATTTCTGGACCATTTACATTTTTGACACTGTTACGATAGAAAGCGAGTAGAGCAAAATTACGTCCAAACAGCGTGGAGAGAGAGGGGCTAAGTGCGTAGTTATTCAATATGGTAGCACGTGAAAGAACTTTTAGTTGAGTAGTTCCGTCTGACTACTAGTCATCAGGTATGCAGCTTCGTGACATAGATTAATCTAGAAATGACGCAGTCCGGAAATGTTATTGCTATTTTTAGAATGAAGGCGGGAGTTGAAGGGCTGCTATTAATTTATAATTGAAACAAGGATACTTATATTTCACACCACATTACACATTAATAAACCAATAGTATAATTAAAAAACGCAAATATAAATGAAATCTCTATAATAAAGAAAGAGTATGTCTGTGTGTGTGTGCTTTCTTCGTGCTGCGCTAACTAATAGACTCGGTTACGAAATTTTACATGGTGTATCTAGACAAGAGGACAGTGCACCTCGAAGCGATTTTCAAATTCGAATTCAGATTTATTTTTTTGTCTTTTTTGATGACATTGCTCATATTGAATATCATTCTTTTAGAAATGTGTTTTAGCAACAGTTTTCATTCAGTGCTTTGTATACTGGACTGCTAACTGTGAAAATATGAGAGAAATAATATTATTTAATTTACGCAACACGCATATGCAATCTTCTTATTCTGACGCGCAAGGTCTGCGAGCACAACAAAGAATTCCCCCCCTTTTTTTTTCTCCTTCTCTCTCTCTCTTTCTTAACTGTGGCGAAGAGGTTTGTATATTTTGAGTTTTTGTCATCCACAAACACATTTTGAGTGGTTATTTCTTTCTATGATCGTTCATTCTTTGAGAATGTGGTTTGGACAGTTTTTCTTCATTGCTTTGGATACTGGACTGTGACGTTTTCTCATGAATAGGAATTTATTGCTATTTCTGTAATTTTTATATTATGTTTTAATTATATAATTTTATTTGAAGTTTTGTGATTGTTTTGGGGAAAAGTTCTTAATTCTTTATACCTTGATTCTTAAGATTTTGCAAAGGAAAGTTGTTAATTTATTATAGGAAAATGATATTCGTGTGAAGGTATTGCTTTTCCTTGTAATTTTTTATTAATACATTTTATTGAAAATTCCGTTTTTTTTTCCTGAAAGTTGTTCTGCAGAGTAAATACTGTGCGTTTTTAAATTTAATGATTGGTTTCCCTTTAGCATTTTTCGGACAGAAAGGTACGAGAGCGGCGGAAGGTGTTATATAATAGGTGCGTATGTGTGTGCTTGTGTGTTACATTAATTTATGCTATTATCTGCAGTCTTTTTACCAACTGCCTGAAAATAGTCTGCAAACTAAACCAGCCCTCATCTTTTTTTACTCTTTTTATTTGTAAACGTCACAGGAAAGATTGAAAATATTTCCAGGATATATTTTGCGTAATTTCCATTGAAACTTATTTTACTTCAGGATTTTTCATTGAGAAATTATCTCATAGAAAAACGTTCAGAAGATGTTGGCTATAAGGATCTCCATTTAAATATTACCTAAAAATCTAAAACAAGTTGGAGTCAGTTTCTTGGATTTTTAGAGGTACATAGAATCGATTTAAGTTCAAAATCGCAGAAATGAATTACAGCTGTTTTAAAAAAAATGGTTTTAGTAGATGAAATAAAATTTATGTAAGTGTTTATCCATTTTATGTTTGATACTGTTCTTCTTTTAGTTTGCGGAGGATATCTATGGGGACACCTTTATGGATCCGTTAATTCTCCCGGCTACCCGGGCAAATATCCACGCAACAGAACTTGCACATGGTCTGTTATTGTGCCTATTGGAAAAAGAATACAGTTCGTGTTTGCCACTATGATGCTAGAGCATCATGAAAATTGTTCTTACGATTATCTCAAGGTCAGTCGTTTTTGTTTACAATTAGAAGATCTTAATAATTATTTATTATCTTTTTAGCAGCTATGAAACAAAATGTATTTGACTAATATGTTAAGCATAAACTACTTCGCCTTGCTTACGTTTCTGATGACTGTACAATTCAGACAAAATATACTGTGTTATTTTATTATAAGAATTATTGATAATTAAGGAGTATTTTAATATCATTATAAACAAATTTTGGTAGGTAGCTAGGTTACAGATATTTGGCATGTACCTAAATAAGTATTATATCGTACTTATTTAAATTGATACTTACTTTTGTAAACTGATATCACTATGGCAAATATCCAAATGCCGTTAGCTGTGATCAGAGTGCTATTTAAATGCTAGTGATAAGAGTGCTATTTAAGTAAGTGATAAATGCTAAGAGTCCTAGTGAGGAGTGTAATAAATGTAATAAGTGCTAGTGGTAAGTATAATAAGTGCTAGTGATAAGTGTAATAAGTACTATGTGCAATAAATATTAGTGATAAGTTTAATAAGTGCTAGATAAGTGTAATAAGTGCCAGTGACAAGTGTAATAAGTGTAATAAGTGATAAGAGTGCTATTTAAATGAAAAACATTTTCCTGCACTTTAGATGCATTACACTTATTCTTTAATGCAGGATGCCTCAAAAGATCGTTACCAAATTTAACATGCTGGTGTGTCATACCATGACAAAGATTTACATGAGTACTTATGTCCGAAAATGCGAACCGCAACCGCTAGAGGGTAACGTTCACAAGCAAGGCATGGAGAAAAGAAAGGATATCAAAAGAGGTGTTAATATGACTTTATTAAGGAACATAGTTAAATCATAGAATATATTGAAAATTCACCACATTCACCCATTCACCACAATCCATTCCCCACATTCACCACAATGCATGCTTCACAACATCGTGGTTTCACTGACCAGTTCAAGTTGGACAAGTGTGTGTCGGACACGTGCCGCCGCTTCCAAGACGAGGGGACGAGATCCATGCCCGATGTTACGGTCGTCTCGGACACCATGGATTTCGTGTATCCACCACAGGTAGAAACAGAGGGAATCAGGTCGGGAGATCGCGGTGGCCACGGCATTGCCACTCTAGAGATACCCTATCGGGTTATTCCTGCACAGTGCTGCTAAAATATGCAGGCGTTCAATCATGCTCAAGCCAGATGTTTCGGCATGTAGCTGCTGGAACGTCAACCATGAGACCTGGCAACATTCTTTGCACAAAATGTACATAAAGAATTTAGTAAACTTATCAGGTTCAGTGTTTCTCCTTACTTGCTTGGGGAACATTCCAGAACCTGACTCGGAACAGGGAGCTTACTAAAGCTATGTTCAATAAATGTGGGAAATAGACAAGATATACAGAAGGGTATACGAAACCCTTAATTTTTTCCACTTTACAAAATTTCCGAACTTCGGAATACAGAGACCAACTACTTGTGTCTGAACGTAAGAATATAAAAATATTAACTAAATTCTAACTTAACTTTGGAATAATAAACAAGGGCCTACGTGGAAGATTGGCCGTATATTAACGGAAGCCGTATGTAGTACAGAGAACTGTTAACACTACAATACGTTTAAATTATCAAGAGGATTAAACCTCTGGCCTGGAAGGCAACCAGCAACGAGTAAAACTGCTAAGGGAGCGGCCTGCTTCGACTAACTCCTTCCTCCTCTCGCTTGGCAAAAAGCCACACTTAAGTACTTGGCGTTCGCCAACATTTGCATAAATAAGTTAAAGCTTTTAATCTGGCCGGAAGTAGAAAATAAGAAGTGATAGTAAAGATTTAAAATAAAAATAACGTTAGTAACACTAAGATCCTACAATGATCCATCCTTCTCCTGCCAGCGTCTCGCCGAAATGATCACACTTCCACTCTCAACATAAACCACTAGCGTCTACATTCCAAAACGGCAGCCTATGAGAGACGCGATTCTATTATTTTCATCGGGGAGTAGGGAATTTACGAGTAGAATGGTTTTCTGAGGAACGCCAGCGGCAGTGCGCGATGTTTGCTTACATTAGGAAGTTCAGAAAATGCAAAGGTGGATTGCCTTAGTTTCTGCGGTTACTTTCAGGGAAATATTAGGCAGTTTTTTTGGTTTGCTGATAGATGGCAAATAGATAATTTACCTTTATAAATCCGTGTTATCTATTTAAACTTCAGAAGATTAATGAAGTGAATATATTAACACAACAGAACCAGCTTAAGACTGTAAATCTTTTAAAAAAAAATAATCGATAATTAAAAATATTATTTATAGTTTCACTAAAAACTTTTCATAATGCATAGTTATCATTAATTAACAATCATCCATGCATTATCTCATTATTTATAATTAGAAGAGAAGATATTTTTTACAGTAATGTTTAAAAATTTGCTGTTGTCTTTTAAAAGATTTACAAGGTTTAAGATTGCGTTCTTTTGTGTAATATATTCTCTTCATCTTAATCTTCTGAGTTTAAATAGATAAAAGCGGATTATAAAGGTAAATTTCTATTTGCCCTCTATCAGCAAACCGAAAAAACTGCCAATATTTCCCTGTAAGTAACCGTAGAAACTAAGGCAATCCACTTTAGCAATTTTTTGAACTTCCAAATGTAGCAAACATATAGTCCACTGCCGTTGCATCCTCAGAAAACCATTCTAATCCCCTACTCCCGATGAAATAATAGAATCGCCTCTCTCATAGGCTGCCGTTTTGGATGTTAGACGCTAGTCACATAAACCTGCTAAAATTGCCCTCTAGCGGTCTACGCTAGAGGGCAATGTTCGCAGGTTTATTCCTTTCGCATTTCGGACCAAGTCCTATGTAAATCTTATTTGTCATGGTATGCAGACCAGCAAGTAATTTAGCAACGTCTTTCGAAAACCCGTACGCTGTCTATCATAAGAAAGCTTCGACGTTAGTCTGCAGCTGTCTGTTGCCATAGAAACGAGCCTTGACCCATTTTTCGTAGGGGTGTCTTCAAGACGAATGATAAACTCTTTTCCCTTCAGCCAGCAGTCGCCAAAAAAATAGCAATAAAGCAAATCTTGGCTCGCCCCTATTTGAAATATACTAGCCCTATTGCTATAGCGACCGCCACCCGCCAGACAATGTGGCGGGAGCTCTTCTCGTAGACAGACAGTAGACTGTTCAGCACAAAAAGCATGTATTTATGGGCGAACTGGCAAATGAGAGAGGATGATTCTATTTATATTATATAGATATTCATATTTCAAATGTTTAATAGGTCTTTGCTGACACGCAGCTCTCTTATATTCTTTTCAATATGAACAAAATTCACACTTTAGCTATTATTATCTTCGAATACGCAACGTGACTAAACATTAAAAAATCTCTTATTATCATCTAAAGCAAACAATATTGAAAGTAATCAAGATACAGAGCTCTACAAGCCTTGTATTAATAATAACTTGCTGAAAGGAAAAAATTCCTTCTTTTGGTATTAAAAAATATTGTTTGTTTCTTTAGCTGATCGTAATCAAATCATGATACAGCAATCAGAATTACCTTCCTAGGGAGAGGGCTGCCTTCATGGAAGAATTTCAGAAGGTAACTGGCGCATATTCAGGTTATTCGCAAGGAAAACCAAGGGCAGTGTAGGCAAACAAAATTACGCTTTTTTTAACACTTGAGTTCAGTGACGTCACTCGAGAACAGAAGTGGGAGTAGTGAAGACACAAACGGAGTAGGGAATAAATTCTTGAGCCGGTTGTGAGTCAGTGATGTCATTAATACTCAAATATTTCTGAGGAAGGAAAGGAAAGAGCAAACTTTGCAAACCCTTTGCGGCTCAGTGTTCCACTACATGGAACACCCAAATTGAATCGCTTCTGAAACCTTTAAATTCAACCGTAATAGATAAAATGCCTTTATAATATACTTTGAACTTTCTTTTTAAACGTAGATAGCAGCATATCACAAGAGGACACAACATTATTATGTGTTATTAAATCCATTTTTTCAAGTAATTTTCTCTTTTTTTAATGATATAAAAATTTTATTGAGAAAAAATTAGGCATAATTTTTTGTTGCTGTACTCCAAATTTTTTTTTATCTTTCATACAAAAAATACCAGAATCATTGAATAAAACCGGTTTCCATTAGGGAACACTGCGCCTTTAATCTGATGCTCTTACGAATCGGACATCTGTGCTTAGGAGAGAACATCCGTTTTTCGTTCTGTTTCCGTTGTTTTTTGGGGAATGAATTCAACAAAGCAGCAGTGAGGGGCGAGGTGTGTTTTGTGTATGAAGCATTAATATTGGCATCTCGAATTTTTGGGAGTTTTTTCAGGCGGGAATTTTATTAGTAGCTTGACTCATCTTTACTTAGACCTACGCGAATTTTTGCTGTCTTTTTAGTCTCATTCCGTTTTTTTCAAAAATGTGTAGATATTTTTCGTTGTCAATATTGTCGTAGATTATTAATTTCCATAATGGCGCGGAGAAGTCTAACTCTTTCTGAAGCGCTAAAAGTGTTTCATGAATAACCCTCGGATTACAGCCCAAAGATTTCTGTTTAAATTTGCTGTGTTCCCTCTGTGTCACGAAAGCTTCAAAGATAACTTTAAAGAGGCGACTTCCTTCAAGACCTGAAGATACTTCCAGGCATAAAGTAAAGGTTTCTGGGGGAAAACGCTACAGTGGTGTTGAACACATATCGGTGAAGGGTACGCGTAGATGATGTGCACATTATAGCATGAAACAGAAGCCGCACAAAACACGTTTTATGTGAAAAATCTGCAAAGTTGGTTTGTGCTTCCATCAAAAGGTGTGACTTGCTTTGAACAATTTCACGAAGCTAAGAAATAGGAAAATTTATAAACATTTTGTATATAAGACTTGTGTATATAGATATTTAGCTCATTTATCCGTGTATATTCAAGAATATTGTGTTATCCAGGAAACCATGTATACAGCCATAATACAGAGTTTTTTCATTCTTATACAAACGCTTCTACTCATTTTCGTGCTTCACTGCAATGCTCGCTTAGTCGCACTTTTAAAAGCTCTGGCGGCGCAGTGTTTCACCTCATGGAACACCCACAGAATTAGAACGGTAAGTGCAATTTTTACAAAATTTTACCTGTATACTCCTTTAGGACTAAATAGACTGCATACAACTTTTTTTTTGTTGAAATTCCAACGTTAACGTATAGTGCGCCGCAAAGGGTTAAGCATACTGACTTTGGAGAAATCCATAAAAGATCCATGCAATTAGATTCAAATAAGTTATTATGCAGTGAAGCTGTCTTATGCGCTTTGGCGGGCTTCAAATAATTAATGCTGAATGTTTTGATCGATGGTTTAAAGAGCTGGGTTTGAAGCTCAATGATTTCTGGCATTACTCTAGTTAAGAGAATTATTAGAAATGTGCCCCATTTCATGTATTAGTAAAAATATCTTTGCATTTCAATTAAAATAGCCAGTTCGGAAACCTAATAATTTCGAATTCCAATAACAAAAACCTGAGTTTAATATGAGCTGAAATATTGTTTCAGAAATAAGGATATTTACCAAATATTTCGGATATTCACCAAGCGATTATGTGAATTTTGACATTCACTGGTTGATGGCCAATATTGTCCAGATTTCGGTCTTCCACGGTAACATAGACATTTAAACTTTTACTTGGTGTTTTATTTATTCAATTGATTTTTTTTCCATATATCTTATAGGTATACGACGGAGCTAGATTCACCGACCCCGAGATAGGCACTTACTGCAGTTCTGTGATACCACCTCCTTTAACGACTTCAGGACACATGGCCTTACTGCATTTTCATTCAGATGAGAGTAATGAAGATGCTGGATTCCACATTGCTTACTCAGCAATAGGTACTTAACCCAAAATGTTTCAGTGGTTAACGGAAATCTGTATAAGAGTTATTAAGCAGTTAATTTCAAAGAACTGTGCCCTCATTAGTATGGTGACAAGAGATTTGGGTTATGTGATTATGGCAAATCACTTAAGAGCTATCTCTGCCTAAACAGAGGGATGTCTTCTTGGGGGACGTTCTAACGATAACTGGCTTGTTTACACCTTACACAACGGGAAACCCACAAAACCGCCATGTAGCCAGTCTGTTAGCGGGATTTACAACCTTGGACCAAACCTACCAGTGTTCAGCTACTTTACCGCTTGTCCGCTGGTAAGCTGCTGCCAAGAGCAAAAAAGCTAGATAATCTGGGAATAGTAATTGTAATTTGTGTTCACACATTATATGCCAAAGTATCTGAAAATTTACAATGGGTGTGTGACGATTGCAAAAAGCAGAAGACATATGATCTCGATAAATTGCTTTAGTATTTTAATTTGAATAAATATTCGCCCTGTAAGGTGACTTGCAAAACATATCTTTTGTGTTCTTATTATTATGTTCTGTATGTTGATTTTATTTATTAAATATCAGGTTCTTAGAACTTACGCCACATAAAATTCGATTCAACATCAAAATGGCAAAATTTTTAAAAACAGCTTATCTTTAAAATTTCCGACAGAGAGTCTCGCGTGCGGGAGATAAAAGTGTTTCATTCCATTGCGTTGCCACTGCTTGTTTTCAAAACGTTGAGTTTGTTAATCAAAAATTCATTAAAGTTTTATAACATATGAAATACAAAATTAGAAATTCAAAATTCGTGCTTCCAGGTACACGTTCTCTGGTACAGGACAAATTTATTTAAAATTAAAGGCTCTGGGTACTGTCGTTTTCTCACACTGCACGGAACACACACATGCAGATTCATTTTTTAATTTTTTTAAAGACAATACAGGGTATTTGGTAGCAACAATTTTCGCCGTTTATAGTGAACGACGCAAAATGCCGTTTGGTGACCAGTAGCCTATTTGATATAACCCCCTTTTGCCCCCCCCAAAAAAAGAACATTGTAAAATGTAAAGAACATTGCTTCTAAAATTCAATGTAAAGAACATTGCTTCTAAAAATAATCCTTTTTAGAAGCATGGAATTTGCGCTAATTTCTTGCGGATATCATATTGTAAATTGGACCAGTTTGTGGTTGTCTTCATTAAGTTCTGCATAGGTCTAAATTGTCAGTGGCATTTTCAACAATTTTTCCAGATAATTATATTCTTACAAAATGTATCCATGTTACCGCATTACAGGATTATTATACATCCGGAACATAGCCATATTGTCTCAGGATAAATATTCTTACTAAAACGTTCTGCGGATATATATTGTAAATGGAGCCAATTTTGTGGTTGTCCTTCATAAGTTCTGCATAGGTTTAAATTTGTACAACTGGCATTTTTCAACGATTTCTCCAAATAATTACATTTGTACAAAATGTATCCATGTTCTCCCGCATTTACAGGATTATTATACATTCCAGGAACATAGCCATATTCGTCTCAGGATACAAATTCTACTAAGTCTTGTGGATATCATATTGTAAATTGGAGCCAAGTTTTGTGGTTGTCTTCATTAAGTTCTGCATAGGTTTAAATTTGTACAGCTGGCATTTTCAACGATTTCTCCAAATAATTACATTCGTACAAAATGTATACATGTTCTCCAGCATTTACAGGATTATTATACATTCCAGGAACATAGCCATATTCGTCTCAGGATACAAATATACTTACTAAAATGTTCTTGCGGATATCATATTGTAAATTGAAACCAAGTTTTTTGGTTGTCTTCATTAAGTTCTGCATAGGTCTAAATTTGTACATTAAGAATCCTTAAGTATTTTGCGAAACTGTTCTTTCTTTCTCGCTTTATGTATAGGGTGTTTTAAAGAATAATCCAATTGAAATGGGTATAGTATTAAAAATATAGTACACAGAAAATTAAAATTATTTTTATATTAAATGGCTAATCATAAAATTTTCTTTCGATTAAATTAAAGGAACTTAATGCGTTCACGTTTGGATAAACGGCATATATCTATACGGTAGTCATATTTATTCCAAAATTTTGCGAGTATTTTTACTTCCTTGTACGAAGTAAAAAGGATGTATTGTAATCGCGAAAAGTTTCAGGCAGCATATTTCAACGAAAATATCCATTTTGACCGCTATCGAATGCAATTTAACGATGCTTTTGCGTGATATCTGTACGTAAGAATAAAATACTCTTTTCCTCCAAAAAAATTATAAAGCTGCTTTAAAATGAATTCAGAAGAGAATTTTTCGTGGCGTCCCTGTACGTACGTACATATCTCGCATACTCAAAAACAAGTAGCCTCAGAACGTTGAAATTTATATAGGGACTGTTATAACATGCAGATGTGCACCTCGTATTTTGGTTGCATCGGCCGCACCAAACGTATATAAATATCTTTATATATATATCCACTCTGTTACCCGGATCAGTGATCTCAGTTTCTTTACTCTTATATGTTTGTAAATTGTATATTTTTTGCTTTAAAAATGATTGAATTATGTTGTTCCTATATCCAGGTTAAAGTTTTTATGCCTTTAGTAAATCTGTATGCAATATGTTTAGAATTATCAACAATTTTAAAGTTGTTTAAGTGCGTAAAGCCTAATAATTTTTTTTGATGGCGGCCATTGCTTGTTTACATTTGAAACAGCAGGATAGTGGATTTGTTGCCAATCTATAGAAACTTAGCTTCGCAACAACAAAGATAACGCCTTCATTTGTTATTGCGAATTAAATCATGCTTAATCCTTTCTGGAATTTTTTCGAGAAAATAAGTGTTTAAGATTTACTTCGTAAATTTTAATACAGATATTTTGAGTTTCTATGTATTTTGCCTTGTCGCGAAGTGGGAATTGAATGAGAAATACTCAATCGTCTGTGAAAAACCGTTTCATTTTTGTATTGTTTGCTTAATTTCTTTTATACATCGTTCTAGCTTTATAGTATTTAAACAGAACATGTGGCAACGATTAGATAATTCTTTAAATGATGTAAATTTTGTGCATTCTGAGTTATAATATGAACGAAATATAATACTGTTAAGTGAACCTAGCGCCAGAGTGTCGCTATGGTAATCAAATAGTGTGAATTTTAAAGAATGCATTTATTCTGTTGTGGTTTATGCGTTGTCGGCGAAGTAGATTTAATTCAATCCAATAAGTTTAAATGAAATGCAAGAAAAAAAATGGATCTAATTTAATATTCCGTACAAGGAAGTCATGTGTTGTACACATCAGATTTTTATTTATTTATTTATTATTCTTTTGTTATTTTTTTGTTTCTAATATAGATGATTATAGTTGATTTTTGTGCCTTTAGTTAACCTGCATGCAATAATTGTGTAATTATCAACAATTTAAAAGTTTTTTCAGTGCGACTAAGCCTAATTTTTGATTACCATGGCAGTCATGTTTGTTTGCACTTGAAACTTAGCAGAATAGTGGATTTATTGGCAATCTAGGGAAACTAAGCTTCTCAACAACAAAGTAACGTCTTCTATGATTGCGATTAAATTATGCTTAATTCATTCTGGCATTAGCATTTAACTTATTAGCTTGCTTTTGCGTAGAAACTGTAATTTTAATTGTAAACGTTTTTTAAAATTTGTTTACCTGTACTTACTTGGCGTTTTATGTATTTCGATATTTTTCAGATTTTAATGAAAATATTTTGAATTTTATGTATTTCTGCCTTGCCGCGAAGTGAGAACTGAATTAATTAGTAGCGCCTGCGCATTAGGTAATCCGCGCTGAATCGTCTGTGAAAAGCTGTTCCTTTTTTTATTTGTTTAATTTCTTTTATTTGTTTAATTTCTTTTTTATTTGTTTAATTCGTTTTAGATTTATTATTGTATTTGAATACAACTTATGGTAATCTTCAGATGATAACATTTTTGTGCACTCTGAGTTATAAAATGAATGTTAATGCTGTTAAGTGAACGTAACGCGGAAGTGTCGCTATGATAAATAAATATAGTGAACTTTAATGAGTGCATTTATTTTATTGTGGTTAAAGCGCTATTGACGAAGTAGATTTAATTCAAAATTCGTTAAATGTTGATTCAATATGTTTAAATGAAATGCAGGAAAATTGCTCATAATTTAATATTCTGTACAAGGGGGTCATGTGGTGTACACATCAGATTTTTTTAACCCCATAATATTTTTTTAAACACTCCGTATACTGTTAGATTTTTCTGAATAAGCAAACGTCACTCAGTCATCCTATAAAGTGTATCTTGTTCTCCAAATTAGCAACTCACGGATGTGGTGGAACTCTAACAGCTCCGCAAGGTATCGTTACTTCACCTAATTTCCCGGATGTATACGATAGCTATCTTAGGTGCGAATGGATCATAAGAGTTCGTCCAGGAAGCAGAATCCTACTCACATTCCAAGAATTTAATTTGGGAAGTGAACAGAATTGCTGGTACGATCGTTTAGAGGTGAGTTAGCCATTTATCAGTTGCTTAGAACATACAGAAATCGTCTAGAGATGGTTTGGTGTGATTTATGTGATTTACAGCAAAGCCTAGACGGCTATCTGCCTAAGGGAAGGAATGGCTTTGTGGAGGACTCTCTAAGGCAACTGCCTCGTATACATGTTACGCATGGAGAGAACCACGAAAACGCCCATGCAGCCAGCCCGTTGGCGGGATTCGAACCTCGGACCCGAACTACCAGTGTTCAGCGACTTTACCGCTCGGCCGCTGGTGAGCTCTGTCTGGAAATGAGTTACTCTCATTCCTAAAGCGGAGTGAAATGACTAACGTTTTCTAAATTTTACTTTAAATTCTATTTTAAAAATTGTTTGTTATATTTGCTATGGTGAAGAATCATGATAATCTAACGTGATTCTAGGAAAAAAAAATATTGATAAAATACACTTGCTGATTTTGAGAATTTTGACACTTAACACGTTTTAGTAAGAGTAAACAAAATTTAAATTTTTAAACCTGCTCTTTCAAATTAAAAAAAGCGTTTTTGGCTAATCTTTGGAATATGGTAACATGTAGTTTGGCAACATTTTGGTAAGGCTATAAAGGTTACTAGCTAGGACTTTAGCAGTGTACATGGATATAGTCAAGAGTGTGCACAATGCCACTTTTTGTGCAATTCTGGGATGTTTTTTTAAGTGAAAATAGGTCGACGTGTACATGGATGATATCGTGTATGTGCAATTCGTAAAAACGCGGCAAGCAGTGGGCGATTCTGCACTTTGTCCCAATTCCGCACCTAATCTTCGTCATGATTAAGCACTTTCCATGAAAGTTCTAGCATAAGCGTAATTCGGCTAGCAGATTGTTGAAAAAAAAATTGTAAATGTTGAGTTAAAAAAAAAAAAAATTGCTTTTACTTCGTGAAAGCAAAATGGCGTCCAAACAAAAACTAGCAGGTTGCTGTAGCAGGGTTGGTCGCCAAATTTTCGCCAGAAAATGGCCAAGTTACCATAATCCAAAGATAACCGCGGTTTTTAGTTATTCAGTATCGTTTCAAAATGATAGGATGTATAACATAAAATAAGCCGTACGAAAAGTTGTCAAAATAATTAATGTGACTTAAAAAAACATTCAGCACACAAAACAAAACGGCGGAGATATGATTTTAAGAGTGACAATAAAATTACGTTACATTCAATAAAATTTTTTTCGTTGTAGTATTGTTGAATGCTTAATGAAGCACTTCAATAATCATATTTTCGCAAAGTAGATGGTGTCTTTTACAAGTTCTGTATGGGAAACTTATATGAGTAGTTAGTTTTTGTTTAGAATTATTGGTTAAAGCGCAGTTTTTATTGAACCAGAATATCTTCATATTTGGTTCACGAATTTAATTTACAGAAATGCCTTTTCTGCTTAAAATAGTTTTCCATGAGAAATTAGTTAAATTGTTTTTATTAAAAATCGATCTTTGAGCAAAATAATCGTAGTTTGAAAGACTATGTAAGAGTCGTTTAAGAATCAAGCAGTCATGTATTCTGTCATGCTTCTTGTTTTATATAAAAACAACAAACAATATACTCGCTTTTTGCTCAGGCTAAAAAGAGGAACTTATTTTCCCGCGAAATGTAAAAATATTAGGAACATTCATTAAGTTCTCCATCAAAAAATATTTGTACTGAAAGGTAACAAATTACGCATTAAAATTTTAATACCTAATAAATGCAACAAATAGTGAAAATAATTTTTAACAATCATAACATAAACTGCTAACAATGACGAACTGCTCCTTTAAGTTCTACTAAAAGTTCATTTAACGGAAGTTCCGTCGTAGGTGGTGCGAATAGCTAATAGGCTATTCACACCACCTACGTTTGCGCATGCGCACAATCAGCCCAGGTACCAGCATTTTACGCCGATTTCAGTAAGACAGGGGGTAGCGAGAATGAAGGTTGTTAACCGTAACTCAGCAACAGAAAGGGTTGTTAATAGTTCACCAGCAAGAAAATAAATTGAAGTAATAATTATCAATTACGACGCCAATCTATATACATGATAATGGTCAGGAATGATTAGATAAAATAGGGATTTAATGATGGTTCTATTGAAAGAGAGGACGTGTAATTAGTTAAAAATCTTAATGTATTGACAAAAGGCTACAGAATTCTAAATTATTTTATTTAACAGTGAATTTTATGCAAAGTTAGACCCTAGTCATAGGACTGTCAGAATTTATTATTCAATAAGAAAACTAACTGAAAATTATAATATTCTCATATATTCATCACTTTTTCAGTATCCATACATGTTTATAGGTTCAAATACCGTGTTTCAAAATCAAAGTTATTTACGAAATAAAACCTTATAAAATCTGATAAATAATTTATGTATGCAAATTAAATCTAAATCTCTTACATTAAATTATTTCTCTCTTTTAAATTACATCCCATTATTTATTTCAATTAATTTATTAATGTGTTGTACTAATATTTCAAAGTTCTTTGAGTACTTTTGTGTCCTGAAAAATACAAGTATTTCCATAAAAAAATAAACAGTGATATAGAATTGTTAATAACCAGTATTATATGATTAATTGTTTATTTAATAGTTGATTTAATCGCTTTTAACTTGTTTTATGTCTAAATTTTCTACACATAATCCTCTGTGTAATTTTTATTATCTTTTCTCGGACAAAAATTTTCAAAGAGGAATGAATTAAAGTCTTGATTGCGCAAAACACATCTTTGAAGCTAAATGCATTCTGAGAAGTACAAAAAATGTAAATAAGATTTTGTCCCCCCCTCCCCCAAATCAGTCATTTAAACTATTCCAACCTTTCAGGAAAACGATAAACATTGCGAACATAAAAATCTGCCCTTTTTTATATATACCTTATTTGACGGCATATAAGATGCACTTTTTTTCCTAAATTTGGTCTCAAAAATGTTACCTGCGACTTATACGTGAAGGACACAGGTTAACTTTCGATACTGAATGCTATTTTTAGCCCGGATAAAGGTCTGGACACACATAACTTTTTCTACATCTACATGTGTGTGGCCTTCTAAATAAGAGTGCGTCTTATATGCCAGTGCGTCTTATATGCCGTCAAATACGGTACTTAATAAAAGGAAATGTGTTCCTTCCTTTTATAAGAAAAGGAACCCATCCACTTTCCTTTTGAAAAATTTGACAGTTTTGAAAGTCGCCAACGGTTAAAAAACGATAAAGTACGCTAAGGTGGTAACCCGCCTTTTAAAAAAAAGATTCACTACAACACTTAGGCAGTTCGCGTACGTAGAATCCGTACGATTGGATTCAACTGACAGATCTGACAACTCAATGAGCATGCGTTAATGTTGGTGAGAATAGCTTAAGCGGCTATTCGCACCGAGCATCGGCCTCAATTTAGTAAGTAGTAGTACTGGATTCCTTCAATACATGTAGATAAAGCATGGAATACGCAGAATCAGTAAAAATCTCCCCTCTCAGGGACTCTTTTAATATGTTTTAGCTCATGGTTTTCTCTTATGAAACCCTAAAAATGCCTTTTCTACTTGAAAAGACTTGAATTTACCCATTGCTAATTCTCTCAATTCTCCAAGCTGGGAAGGCGAAGAATGAAAGAGTAATTTCGCTGTATATACCACTTTCCTGCCTGGTTAACGTAGATTTTAAGTAATCATCACGTCCTCTCTCCGATTTGGCAAACATATCAAATGTAGGTACAGCATTCTGATTTGCGTAGTTAGGTCTAATCTTTATTGAAATATTCACACTACTCGAAATAATCCATCCTAGTTCAGAACGACAGGTTATTGGTTTACCTTCCTCCACTTTTAATCGCTTCCCCATCCAAAGCAGTAAAGAGATATCTATGCCTAGGAATACGTAAAAAAAGCTCCCTCTTGTAGAATGTTGGATCCGCCAACATTAAATCATTACATACCTCAATGTATTTCGTCCAATGTAAAATGCGGTAGTACTTCAATTCCACTGCTTATACACACTGTTTTAAATGAAAAATGCAGGACGAAACTTATTTCGCAATTCCATTAGTCTTCGTACCCGACGATCCTAAACATGGAATAAAATTTTTTTCATTTCCTCTAGATAACCCTAATATCTTTAACTCTTTGATGGACGGTGGTTACCTACAGTAACAACCTTTCCTATTGAACGTCTTACTCACTCGTGTGAGTGGTTCTAAAGTTCTCTTGTAGCTCACTAGATGGCAGTCAAGAAATATAAACCAATAATTGATGCTGCAATTCGTCTTCAAGAAAATAAGCGTCAGCCATCGAAGATAACATCACGAGGATGTGCAGCAAGAAAAAGCCTGTAAGAACAGTGTGGAAATGAAGCACATGCAAAGTTGCACTCTCCTTGAAAATAGAAAAATTATTTCCATGAGTACCATAGAGACTGATTTGTAGAGATATGTTCTGTGGGCGGTGGTCACTGACAGTAACCACGAAAAGTGGTCATTTTTTTCACGCGTGTTGAACAAAATATGTGTAATTATCGCAAATAATTTCATTGTAACATCTGATATAGTAAATAAAACAAGAGTTTTGCTGAAAACGTTAATTGCCTTTTCCTGCCCCTCAAAGAGTTAAACAGTCTTCTAACCCTAACCTCTTTACACAAGTATTCTGTAACAAAACTCGTTTGACTGCCAGAACCAAGTAACGCTCTACACAATTGGTATTCATCAGATGAATCTAGCACTTTAATAATAGCCTTACACAATAAAGCTTCACGGTGACAATTAAATTCTAATACAGAAGATTTAATTACTGAACTATAATTTATGAAATTATCTTCTTCTTGCCAGTACTAGTTGAGTACTAGTACTTGCCAGTACTTGTTGAGTACTAGTACTTGCCAGTTGAGTGCTAGGTTCCGTCTCGAAGACAAATAGTTTAGCCGTCGCCGGTAACTCTTTTAGATTTTTCGTAACTCGTCGACGTGTTTCTGGCTCATTCTAAAGTCTTTCTAAGTGG